CAGACAACCTAAGGTCTACATCTTAGAAACTTTTCCTTCCCTCTACTTGCTTTGAATTTCTCCATAGAATGATAAGGCACAAAGAGCCAAAACAAAAGTGTGAGCCAAGGGCCTAAAGGGAAAGGAGGCTGTTTGGGTCAGTTTTGGTTCTACGCCTTTGAGCTAGTAACCAGGAACAGTCCTCATGGCTTCACAGAACCTAGTCCATATCAACAAGGATAAGGTTCCATGTTGGAACGAACTCACTCCAAACTGTGAGTAAAGCTTTTCTTAACCTGCCATTGTAATCCTTTGTGGTTTTATTTTCATTTGAGATAGTGGGGGTTTATGTAGGAGGTGCTGTTAATAAGACAAGGTTCAGGTATTGGACTAGCTGTTATTACTCAGTTCATTTTTTGCAGGAATACAATGTATAGCAAGGTCACAGAGAGGACCAAGTGAAATGACATTTATCAGAGATTCGCCTGAGCAGTCCTGATTTACACCTGTTCAATGTCCTGTTCAATTTAGAGTAGAGACATCCCAAAGTCTCCTGTTTGGATAAATTCTGTAATCAACCATATAGGACTAAAGCCTAGGCCTTGTAACCTTTAAACTGAAATGTTTTCTGCTTCTACAGGCTATTGCTTGTTTGTTTGCTTATATGTTATTTTAGGGTCTCCTCGACAAACGCTTATTACTAAGATAACAAAGCACATTACCACTCAACAAAACGGCACTACAACTCAGAGTGCTCATGTCATTAAAGTTAGGACTGCATCAAATTCTCTGTTTATGAACAGCGAACTATCAAAAAAAGAGATTGGTCAAAATATATGCCTAAATATGAATTGGTCAAATAAAAATCTAAACAGATAAAATATATGTACTACATTGGTAGTTAAAAATCATAGCCACATGTTCTAACGCTCTAGATTATTTTTATGGTCCTGCTTTCCTGTAAATTTTATTGTGATCTGGCAATAGTTGCAGATTTTATAAAGTCTAATGTCTTCCTTCTCAAGTTTTCCTCCCATCACATTGTGTTCTTATAGTTCCTTCTCTGAAGTCACATCAAAGATCTTAAAATGTGTCACTTGCAATTTAGTTAATGTTTTCTTTAAAACTCCTGCATTTCTTGGGTAATAAGGAAACTTTGATAATGAAAATGGTTAATCTAAGTACATTTTATTAGGGGCAGGTTAAGGTTAGGCACTCAGTGGGTAAGTGTTTAACACTCACAAGTATTTCAAAGCTCCTGACAAGGTCCACTCTAAAGGGAAGCAGAAAAGAGAAGAACATTTGGGATAAACAGAAATTGGGCTACGAGGACAAAATATGCAAGATATCATGGAATAAAGTCACTCTCTAAAAAGATCTTTAAATCTCAACATTCTCAGGCCCCATGCTTCTATTTTGTCACCATCCAGAGCTTTGGACTTAAATTTCAAGTTTAATGAAATAAAATTTTTTATGTTCCATTTTTCCTTACCATAATACCTACATTCCAAAAATTATCAGTTTACATCTAGGATATTTTGTTAAGGAAACCAAGATTTTCATTATAGCTGTGCTCCCCTGACCCCCAATTTTTCTCTATAATGCCTTTAATTATAATAAACCACCTGTTAGGTAAGCAGGTATTACTTAGAAATTTTGATTCCATTTTAATCCATATGTTTTCCATAGGGTGTCCCATTCAAAGGATGGTGTATGCCTCATCTATCTCATATGGCATTTGGCCTGGCAGTATTCATAGCCACAACCCCGAAAGACAGATGACTCCTGGTGACTTCCAGATATTACTCAACTGCAAGGGCTATAGAATGAACATCATCCTTCTGTACTAAACCAAGGGGAGTATATCATGTCAAACTAAAGCTTCCTCCTTGTTCTGGAAGAGCTTCTGAACCCAGATAGGGAATAGATGAGAAAGTGCGAAGAGGGAACCAGCAGTTAGCATAATGGCTATGTCGCTGGACTCCCACGTAGTCGACCGTGGTTCTCGTCCCGGACCCGGTGGCTTAGAACTCGCGCCGGGCGCGTGTGCGTGCATGCCCAAGATCCCAAGAGGAGAATGGAGAAGGGATTGCGGTGTGACCATTGCCCCTGGGGGGTGATTTCTCGCTTTCTGTCTCTATGTCTCTGTCCGTCTGGCGAGTGCAGGCACCCTATAGTGAGAAACCTCTCAAAAAAAAAAAAAAAAAAAGGAAGAAAGAAAAAAGAAAGTGTGAAGAGATGATTCCTTATATCTTATATAAGGGATAATCTAGTGTATTGGAAGTGCCTACAGTCTCTCATAATTGTGTATCATTGATTCAAATTGGTTAGGGGAAAGGGAAAAATTAACACCATCTAGGAGATCTGCTACGGATTGAATATTTGTACATACTACCAAATTTAAATGCTAAAATTTTAACCCTCAAGTTCAGGATTTTAGAGGATGGGGTTTTTGAAAGGTGATTAGGTCATGAGTTCTCCATTCTCAACTTGTGACTTGGAGTACCCCCCTTATAAAAGAGACCCTACAATGCTAGTTCATTGTTTCTGCCATGTAAGGATGCAGTGAAAACACAGCTGCAGACCCTTCCTTCCTTCCTTCCTTCCTTTTTCTTTTTTCTCTTTCTTTTTCTCTTTGAGAAAGCAGGGCTTCACCACACTGAATCTGCCAATACTTTGATTTTCAACTTCTACCCTCCTGAACTGTGAGAAATTAATTCCTATTGTTTATAAGTCACCCAGTCTATGGCATTTTGTTATAGCAGCCCAAACAGACTAATACTGAAAATTGGTACTGGAAATAGGGTGCTGCTATAACAAATACCTAAAATATGGAAGCAGATTTGGAATTGAGTAATGAGTTAAGGCTGGCAAAATTTTGAGGTGGATGCTCGAAAAATCGTACATTATTGTGAATGACCATTAAAGGAGATTCTAGTAAGGGCTCAGAAGGAGAAAAAGAGGGCTGTAGAGAAAGCTACAATATTAGAGTATCTAAGTGACTGAACAGAATGTTGGTAGACATGTAAATGGTAAAGATCATTCTGAAGAGTTCTCAAATGGAAATGAGAAACATTGTTAGACAATGGATAAAAGGCTATTCTTGTTATAAAGTGATAAAGAATTTGGCTAAACTGGGTTTGTGTCCTAGTGCTTTGTGGAAGGTAGAACTTGTGAGTAATGAAATTGGATATTTGCCTGAGGAGATACCCAAGCAACATGTTGAATGAAGGAGTAGCCTGGTTCCTCTTGACTGCTTATAGTAAAATGTGACATGAGAAATGACTTAAAGATAAAATTGAATTAAACGGGAGCAGAAATTTAAAATTTAGAACATTCTCGGCCTATCTATCTTTGTGCTCTCTTCTGAGAAAGCCTGCTCAGAAGAGAGCACAAAGGGTGTGGCCAATTTGATAAGGATATTTCTAGTGACCAGACATCTCAACAGAAGCTAGGAGCTATTCATCAAGGCAGTGGGGAGCTCAGTGAGACATCTAAACAGAAAACAGGACTTATAGTCCAAGACAATGGAAGGATGGTCCCAATCACTCGGGAGATCATCAACATTACCTCTTCTGTCACAGGCCCAGAGTACAAGGTCCAGGTGGATGAAAGATTTCAAAAGAGGAGCTCCAGCTGTTCTGTATGAACTATATCTCAGGCCCTGCTCCTGGCACTCCATTCCAATGTATCTCTGCTGCCCCAGTGCAGCTCCAGAAAATCCCAGTGCTGCATGTGCTACAAAGCCCCAACTTAGAACTCTAAGGATGACCCAGAGAGAACAAGAGTCCAGGCAGAAAACTACTACAAGGATAGGACTACAGCCAAGAGCCCTATTGGACAATACTCAGTAGAGCAGTAGGGTTGGGGCCACCCTAGAATCCAATTAGAACATTGGCATGTAATTGTAAGCATGGGATCTGGGCACAGAGCCATGGCAGAAGTGAGCCTCTCAAAGACATCAGAAGAGGGCTTCTACCTAAATATGTTAGGAAGTAAGGATTCTAGGCCTATGGGCCTGGGAGGCAGATTACTGAGACAAAGGTTATTCTCAAGACTTAGGGTTTAGGATTTGGTTAGGACCAGTCACTCTTTTCTTTTCTATTTTTTTTTTCTTTTGAAATGGGACTATCTAACCTGTTTGTCCCACCAATTTATTTTAGAAATATCTAACATGTTTGATTTCATAGGTTCATAGCTGGAGAGCAATTAGTCTATATCATAAGTCTTACCCTCTCTGATTTAAATGAGATTTTGGACTTTAAACTTTAGGGTTGATGCTGGAATGAGTTAAAACTTTTCTATCTATTGAGATAGAATGAATACATTCTGCTGTAAGAAGAACGTAAATCTTGGAGACCAGAGGCAAAATTATATGGTCTAACTGTTTACGGCCTCAAAATTCAGGTTGAAATCCTAACTCCTGAAGTGAGAGCATTAAGAGATAAAAACCTTTGGTAGGTGAGTGGGTCATGAGGACAGAGCTCTCATAAGTGGGAAGGATTTTATTAGTGTACCTACAAAAGAGACCCCAGAGAGTTCATTTACCCTTTCTACTATGTGATGACATAGCAAAAAGGCATCATCTATGAATTAGGAAGAGGGCCCTCACCAGGCACCAGATCTGCTGGTACCTTGATCTTGGACATCCTAGCCTCCAGAACTGAGATAAATAAATAACAATTGTTTATCAACCACTCAATCTATGGTATTTTGTTATACCAACCTGAACAGACTAAGCCAGGGCCTAATGGTTGAAAACTTACCACTGAGGAGAGGGAGAGGTCTAATCCCAAGAATTGGGTGCTCCAGGTACATTAGGGTACTTCATGTTAAAGTTGCGCATGCACACACACACACACACACACATACACACACGCGCACACACACACAGACACGCACACACACACACACACACACACATACAAAGGTGAATGCATAAAATTATCTCAGCTGTGACAACCACTCTTATATATGTAATTAATCACCCTTTCCAAAATTATTTTAGTTAGTTTCCTTACCTCTTCTGCAACCTTCCATATTTCTTGATCATTCCATTGTTCATAGGGATCCAAATTTTTTCTAAATGTTCCAGAAAAGATAAACACTTTCTATAAAAATAAAGGAGAAATCATGAATAACTTACACATCTTTTTATTTTTCTCTTATTTTATTGTGAAATATTTCAAGTAGAAAATGTTTGTCTTGGGACTAGCAGTTAGCGTAATGGCTGTGTCACTGAACTCCCATGTAGTTGACCATGGTCGAGCCCCGGAACCAGTGGCTTAATTTCATGCCAGGCACGTGTGTATGCATGCCCAAGATCCCGAGAGGAGAATGAAGAAGGGATTGTGGTGTGGCCATGCCCCTGGGGGGGGGG